TATTTGCATATGTACATGTCTTTATCTAGACCTCTATAAATGCCCTTTGCCTCCCAGCTCTTTCCTCTATTTCCCTTGATTTTCCTCCTTTCCCACTATCATGTTCAGTCTTCTACCTCCTGAGATAAGTGTTCATTCGTTCATTCTGTCATTCAACAGTTATCCGTTAACTTCTATTCTGTGTCAGACACCATTCTAAGTGCTGAGAACACAGCAATCAATGAGATACATAGTGCAATGTTAGATCCTAGTGCAGGGTGCGCTGGAAGAGAGGAGAGAGAAGAGAAAGAAAGATAAAATAAATAGATAGGTGCTAGATAGATAACTTCATGTAGTGCTCTATAGGTAACAAGACAGGGTGAACCTATAGAGGAGATGGTAATATGAGAACTGAATTCCTCCAGAATTTAGAAAAGGAGGCTGCTTTCTTTCTTTATTATTTAGCTGGTAACCAAAAGGTTGGAGGTACAAGTCTACCCAGAGTTCCAGGAAGAAAGGCCTGGCAAATGACTTCAGAAAATCCAGCCACTGGAAACCCGATGGGCACAGTCCACTCTGACACACATGGGCTCACCATGATTCAAAAGTGACTTAATAGAAACCGATGAGAAGTAAGTGTGTGAGAGCACGCAAATTTCACTGCATGGCTTGTAGAAAGTACTTGATATTTAATTAGGTACCATGCCTTAGATTGAAAAACAATGCTGTAAAAAAGCATGGTGCACTAAACATCTCTTTGCCAAGTTCTTCATTTTACCACATGCCAAAAACCATTTACACCTTTTGATTAGATTTAATCACAACTGACAGTGCTGCTTCTGGCTCTGTTAAGATGCCCTAATTTCCCCCTTGCTGTCACTTTAGTGCACAGCTATTCAACACTTTCTGATGTTAGCTGAACTAGATTCACTACTCCAGGCAGAATAATGACCTGGATTACTTAGAGAAGCTCTTGAGAGGGAATTTTTTACTTGGACTAATTTTTTTAAGTATTCTTGCTCTGAATAAAAAGAAATCTCATAACTGAATGGTGAATCTAATTGTTGGGAGTTGTCTGTGTGACCCATTCCATGATTTTGCAAGTATTTTAGGAACCGTAAATGTTTGAAAAGGAAAGTTAGTTTTCTCTTGAGAGTGATACTCTTTGAGAACGGATTTCCCAGGCATAGTCCTTTCCAGGTTGAACTGTGACGTGCAGTCAACACCCTACTATCCGACACAGTTTGGACTGGTAGCTGTTTGGTTAATTAAAGATGAAAAGAAACAAAACAAAAACCACCCCAGGAGAGATTATAAAAATGTTTTGGATAAATCACCATTTTACTTTATGGTTAAAAAAATGTGCCTCCCTTCTTAAATCATTTTAAAATATGGGTTTACTGATGGGAGCCTCTCTCCTGCACAAACTCTACCTATATATACCATCTATGATTTCTCGCTCAAATTTCTTTAAAGCGAAGAAAGAACTTACATGCTTTTATGAAGTAATATGAGCATAACCGACTCTAGATTTTTAATTGCTTTTATATTGTTTCATCCATAATGAAATCAAAATCCATTTTTAAAGCACCTCTCCTTTATTTGATCATTCCACTCAGTCACCTTGGTTTCCACTGGAACAATAACTCTTGCTTTTTGTACTTCATGCATCATTGCCTTTATGCCATTTCATTAATTTCTATTACTAAAATGATAAATCCAAATAGCACAAACTGGTTTATACTAAACCTAAGTGACTTTTGGAAGGCACAAGCTCAATGTCAATGGGAACAGAATGACGCCTACTAGAGAGTAGCACGCTGGCCTTCTGTGGTAGCATGCACTAACGAGAGACTCCTGGGAGCAGGCTAAATCGTGCTCAGGTACAAAATCTTCTATACCGGGTTTCGTTCCTGCCCTTCCTCCCTTCTACCCAATGCCTTTTGCTTAGCTGCCCATCTTCTATTACAAGCCAGATAGCAGTCCTCACTGCAGTCTTCTTAGTTAGTTTGTTTGTGCTGTTGTTTTTAACAATGCTTTCAAATGCAAAATCCATTCTTAGCTTGAAAGGCATACAAAAAAGGGCCATCGACCAGATCTAGGCCAAAGTTTATAGGTATCTGCAATAGAAAAGATAGCATAGGCAACCTTGTGCCTCTTACAAGTATACACTTATAGCAACTAATATTTATTGAGAGTTTGCAATGCAGCAGCCATTCTGGTCAGTGTTTTAGGTACATTATTTGATCCAATTGTCACAGTCACCCTCTGCCATGAGACCCAAGCCTGAACCAAACCCACTGCCTTCACGTGAATTCTCATTCACACGGGGTTTCTGAGGCTGTAACCCTTTGTGGGAGGAGATAGTCGCATCTTTCTTTTGAGGAGTGGCTGGTGGGCTTGACTGCTAACCCAACTGTGCCAAAAATGTCCTTATCTGCGGTATCCCAAAACAAAAACCGCACTGCCGTCAGGCAATCCCAACTCCAGGAGACCACAGTGGAGAGCACAGAACTGCCTCGCTGGGTTTCGGAGACCAACACTTTCTAAGAGTCTTTCTCTGGATCCGGTGGCGTAGTTAGTCTTATTATTCCACTGACAATCTAAGCCGAAGGGCAAGAAGCAATGCACATTATTCCTTTGATAGATAAAGAAATCGTGACTTGGAGAGATTAAGTCACTTCCGAACAAAGTGGTGGAATAGGACCTAAACCTAGAAAGATTGACTTCTTAATTACTAAGCTCATTATAGCATCTAAAAAAGCTTTCAGCTGGTGTACCCAAGAGCATATAGTTAATTAGTGGCACGGCCCAGACTAGAACATTGGTCTCCTGACTCACTGCTGATTTGCTAAGTATTTTGAGAAACCTACATTTTAAAAGAGGGATGCAACAAAGCTTTAACCTAATGAATGACTGTCTAATGGTGCAATATTAGGGACTTATAATAGAGGTATTTTAATTATGAAAGACAGAAGTACAACAAATAAATTGTCTTAAAATGTAGCAGATTTGGTACACACATAAAATGCCAGTATCACTCTAAAGAGCAATGAAGTACATACTAAAACACAGATAGACCTTGAACACATTAGGCTGTGTGATATGTCAAAGGGACAAATACTGTATGA